GGTGCGTGCCCACCGACCACGCCCCCACCAGGCGCCGCACGCAGCCCCGTGACCCACGGTGCCCAATCGGCGACCGATGCTTCCACGCCTGCGCATATAGTTGCGTCAAGCTCCCTACATTTTTCCTGTTGTTCCTTTCGACATCCCCACGTGATTCGGCATGAGCCAATCGTAGTGCTTACCGTCAAGGTCCTGCCTCCGAGGTGCTGCCTTTCTGGATCCTCCTCCACCAATCAGCAAGCCCCCCGCTACTGGGAGGGGGGACCTTTTCTCCCTGCGGAACTTGGGCCGTAGACAGCTGCCCTCTGACCCTCACGTGACAGCTCCCGACCGGGTAGGAGACACGCCCCGCCCACGCCAGGATTTGACAGTTCCGCTGTGCAGAGTGTAGTCCCCGCCTCCGCTCCTTATCTTGTTGTGTGGTCACTTGGGAAGCCGGAAACACTAATGCCTTTTCTTGCGCCCTCTGCTGACCGTTGCTGAAACTGGTTTGGAAAGGCCAGAGGGAGGGGAAAGTAAACCGAGAGCAGAGGTTCTCTAACTCTGGTTTGGTAAAAAGCTGGAGAGAATGTATTAAAAAATCAGGTTCCAGCACACCTAGAACCCAGATCTTAGTTTTTAATACTGTGGACGAAAAAGGGGCCACATTCGAAACCTGACAAGCTCAGGGAAGGCCAGCATGGCAGACCCTATACACTCAGAGATGGAAAGTAACTACATAGGATGGTCTGAACATAAAAATTCCTAACTAAAAGAGGGAGGGTCATGGCAGGTAGTCACGTCCTAGGCCTGTAGCTTCTTTGACAAAGGTCAGTCTTTACCTTAAGTGAGCCTGACTATTGTCTTTTTCCATCTAAGATATATCTTTGAAATGCCACGATCGCCACAGCAGAGCGTGGGGTCACAGAACCCTTCATTATGATCTTGTTCCCCGAATACCATCTCTATTTTCTGTAAATGTTAATTCGTAACTATCCTATACTCACTAATGTAAGAGAAGTATGTCTCACTCCGTTTTACTTTTTATCTAATACCAGAGATTCTCCAACCCCTCTTTGCTTCCTCCCACCCCCTTAATCTACCACCAACAGGTTTCATGTAATCCACCTTATGTTTCCTTTGATTCTCATGTATAAAAAAGCTACAAAACTTCCATTGTCTGGAGCGTTTTCTCCATTAAGATTTTGCTTCCCAGCAATTGTCAGTTTGGCTCAAATAAACTCATAAAATTTCTCTGCAGATTTGGACATTTCTTACATCGACAGTACCGTTCTCCAATAAAAGGAACCGATACTCCTTGGATGAATAGCTGGTTCTAGGACTGGAGCCTCTTGTATTACCAGAAAGGAAATGTGTTATCTCTCTTCTCTCTCTCTCTCTCTCTCTCTCTCTCTCTCTCTCTCTCTCTCTCTCTCTCTCTCACACACACACACACACACACACACACACACGATGGGGTATGTCAAAGAGAAACAGGGGTCAAGTGAAAGAGTTCCCATTGGCCAAAGCTAGAACAATTTGAGCAACAAAATAAAGTAGTATTGGATTATAACCCAATGTATAAAATACCCATGAGCCCATGCTGATATAAATAAATGAATGAATGGGGAAGAACAGACAAATACTCCATGCAGAAGAATTCCAAGTAATTCCAAGCATCTATTCAGCTGCCCCTGTGCTGGCCTGACCCACCCTGTCCACCCTGTAGGCGACTTCTTTCCACAGACTGCAGCATGGGAAGATTACAGTGGAGAAGCCTGACAAGCCTCGTCAGACAGGTTATTGATAAGTGACAGCAACGGTGGTAAGTGGCGTTGATAGTACACATCCTTAATCAAATGAGGGAAATGGCCCTTCACCTCCGTGGTCTTCCTCTCGGTCTAATCACGAGAAAAGTATCAAACAAATCCCAACTGAGCCTTTTCCAAAACACTTGACCAAGCTTCCTCAAAACTGTCATCAAAAACAAGGAAAGTCTGAGAAACTGCCACAGCAGAGGAGTCTAAGAAGCCGTGACTACCAACCGAAGGTAATGCGATATCTCGAGTGGGATCCTGGGGCAGAAGAGAGACGTGAAGTAAAAACTAAGGAAATCTGAATAAAGTGCAGACTTTAGCTCATGGTAACGTATTGTAACAAATATACCATGCTAATGTAAGGTGTTAAGAGAGGAGTCTGTGAGAATTTTCTGTACCATCTTGCCAGTCATCCTGTAAATCTAAAAACTATCCGAAGAAAGCTTTTTTTAGAAAAAAATCATTCAAATTTCAGGGCTCTACCTTCAGTGATTCCAGTTCCGAAAGTCTGTGGCAGGGTACGGGAATCTGCGTTTTTTTACAGATGCCCCACCCCGATGATTAGGATAATCCGGAGACCACTGGTTGAGGGGGGCGGTGGGGGCGGGGTTTGGCTGAGGGGTTTGGACCTCCCACTGTGGCCGCCGCTGTATTCCGACCAGAGATCAGGTGGGGGTAAGCATGAATTGCCACGAGCAGTTTCAGTTCCGTGTCTGTCTAAGCAACACTAGTATAAGACCCGTTTGTTTTAAGCTATTCAATTTTAGAGGCGTCTGTCATGTGGCAAGAGATAGCTAATATACCACACGACAGTGTTAAGCCAGATCGTTCATTTCCAGAGTCACTGGGCTTAACTTGTTAGGGTGGGAGCCAAACAATATCAGTATAGCCTGAGTGCTCATTAAATAGTAGGTGCTCACCTCATATGGTACCCCTGCCGAATATTTAATTTACATTTTCTCATTTAACAGATACATGGGGGTAGGCGTTTCCCATCCCATTTTACAGAGTGAGAAAACTGAGGCTCGAACAGGGAAGGTGACTTGCCCAGGGTCACAGAGAGGAGGCACAAGGATGTGAGTCTGGTTCCCCTGATGCCTGAGCCCTTTCCCTTAACCATGACACCCTGACTGTGTGAAACACCACTTCCTCCCTGCCTGTGTCGAAGATTTACTTAGCTGAAGTGTGGCTCCTCTGTGAAACCCCAGCACCACCCTTTCCCTTGCTCTCCCTGCCAGTTTCTCAGAACAGGGGTCCCCAAACCCCAGGCCACAGATCGGTATGGTCCCTGGCCTGTTAGGAACCGGGCCGCACAGCGGGAGGGGAGTGAGCATAGTGCCATCTGTATCTGCAGCCGCTCCCCAGCGCCAGCATCGCCGCCTCAGCTCCGCCTCAGATCATCAGGCATTAGATTCTCATGGGAGCACCAGCCCCTGGTGCCACAAAGGTTGGGGACCTCCGCCTCAGAACACACCACACACTATTACAGACGAAGTCCCGCTTAATGCAGTCAGTCCTCTGAAGTGTCCCTCTTCCCCATGAAGTTAATGGCATCTATTCAGCTGCCCCTGTGCTGGCCTGACCCACCCTGTCCTTACCACCTCTCCAGTCACGTGTGACCCATCAAGTCTGAGTCTGCTTCTAAGATGCGTCCCAAATCCCTGCATTTCTATCCCTCTTCACTGCTGCCCAAGCACGGGCCACCATCATCTTACCTCTGGGCCTCATACCCGCTCTCCAGGCTTCCAGTCCTGCCTCCTACAACCTCCATGCAGCAGCCTGGGGGTTTTAAACACTCGCCACTAGTGTCCCCGAGACAGTTTGCTCTTTGCTATGCCATGGCCTGGAATCCAGATTTCAGCCTCAGCGGCCTCCCCAGTGCGGCCTCCCCTGGCCGTCCACCTAACCTTGACTGCCACGCCCTGGTTGCTCCCTAGAACTTGGTCCCCTGCTTTATTTTCTTCGTGTCACTTTGTGGTGGACTGCCCACAAGTAGCCATTTCTGCTTCCTCTTCTGTCCTGGAAGGCACACACTGGTTTTCCCCAGTCCTAGAGACAAATATTGAGTGTCCAGGGTGACCGTGGCCGCTTCCCATCCCGCTGATTCCCAGGATCAGTTGAGAACTGAGCACACGCTGCAGCTCTGGCTGATGACATGGGACTGCCGTTCCGCTGGGGGCTGCGACAGCTTTCTGTATTCTTAAAAAGGGACACAGGGAGGGAGGGACGTGCTCTCTTCCCTGTGTGGCAGGAGGTGATTCCTCCTGCTGCTGCGGCCAGCACGCCGAGGCTGGCTGCTCCTGGCGGTGCCCGATTCCACAGGTGAGCTGCCAGAACCACCGTGCGGCCCAGCTGCTTAAGCCCATGCTGCCTCTCCTGTTACTTCTGGCCAAAAGCACACCCGGGATCAGAATATAGAATCACCTGCCTGCATATGTGTTACTGCTTCCTTTCCACTCCCAAAATGTAAGCTGCATGAGGAGAGGGGGGGTCGTCTGTTTCGTCACTGCGCCCCCATAGCGCGGACTGGGCACTGTCCAGCACGTACTACCGCGCGTATTTGCTGAATGAATGTACAAGGCCCCCGGGTCCTCCGGGGTGGGGGCTCCGCTTGCTTCTCTGTGGCTCCGGCAAGTGGCAGGGCCCGAGAAGCCCCTGTTGGATCGAACGGCCAGGGAAGCCAGAAGACAGCTGCTCAAGAACCCAATTTAATACGATTTACAAGCGACACGTACAAAAAACACCTAACGAGGTACAAGTCATTGCGAGACGAAGGACCGAATCCGAATGCAGAGAGACCCCCGGCGGGCCCACACGTTGGCCATCTGAAGGCATTTTCCCACTGATGCTCTACGTCTTGGCCTTACCTAACAATGGAACCAAACCCCAAAACTGAGGCCAAGATTTGAGAGCTACCCAGATCTGACTCGCCCCCGCCCCCAGCCTCCCTGTTCTAGGGGTGGAATGGGAAGAGGCACCAGCCGACAGGGACCTCGCAGCTGCCTGATGACCTGCTCCTCCTGCCTGCGATTGGTCACAGGCCTGCTGTGTCTGCAAGCTGGGCTGGCCCGTGGGGAACAGTGAGGGTTGGGGGGAGGCAGAGGGGCGCCCCAAACATCTTGGAGAGGCCAAAGGGAGACACAACAGGGCTGGAGGTCCCCATCCTGACTTGCTGCCTCGCCCCAGCTAGCCCCTGCTCAGGAATCACCACTGCAGGGGGCCGATGTCAGCCCCGATCTCCTCCTCCTCCTCCTCCTCCTTCAGCTGGAAGGGCTTCACCGGCCACCTCACCCGGACCACGGGTCCCACGTGGTCCTGAAGCCGGTGCCGCTTCATGTGGGCATTTCGACTCTTGATCTTGTCGAACACCCTGGGGAGTCACCGGAGGACACGGGGATCAGAGCGGGGTCGGGGGGCCGACACCCGAGCGCGCCCAGGCAGGGGCCCGTACCTTTCACACTCTCTGCAGGGAAAGACGCCCCGGCCCTCTGCGCTCCCAGGCGGCTCCGGGGTCCGCCTGGGGCCGGTGCTGGGGCTGGCGGTGCGGACAGACTCCCTCCTGAAGCCCTTGGTCCTTATCTTCAACTCGGGTGTCGGATGGTGGCCGGGTCTCTCCCGAGGGCTGCAGGTGACCTGGAGAAACCACGTCAGGGTGCTGACCCCTCACCCTTGCCAGGGAGCCACAGGAATCCTGGGGACACTGTCCTCTGCAGGGAACCCTCCCCCCCCAAACCCCGACTTGGATGGGCGGTGAGCACCCAAACCCCCCCCCCCCCGCCCCGCCCCCCTCCACCTTGGCGTCTGTCCTGTCCGCCTCCTCCGCCTCTCTCTTGAGCCTCTTTTCCAGCCCCGGGGCTCGGCCGCAGTCGAACTTGATCATTTTCTTCCAGATGTAATAATACTCCACACACTGCGCTACAGTCTTCGTCTGGATCTAGTGACAGAAAACAGTAGCTGACTACGGCAGCCCTGAGTCCCTGCCCACGGGGCTGGCCTCCGCCTTTTACAAGCCCTCCCCCTTGGCGTGAGCTGCCCCTTCGCCGCGAGGGGCGGAGGATCGCACAGTCCTCCCGGGTGACGAGGGGGCTCAGCGCAGCCACAGCGGCCAAACCTCCTGAGCTCCGCGCAGCAGCGCCACCCCAGGACCCCTTCCCCGTGGAAGGCGCGCACGGAGGCGCACTGCAGGATGCTCACTGCGACCTCCTGCCCGAGGGCCGCAGGTGTACCGACCCGGGCTAATTAGAGCAGAAGGCCCTCACGCGCTGGAGGCCACGCAGCTCCTGCGGCAGCCGGCAGGGCCCGACAGCACGGAGGCAGCGGCCCGTGGGAGGAGGGGTGGGTTTGGAGGGGTGGGTCTGCGGCACGGTCTGATGCTTGCGCATTCCGACGCTGCCATTTGCTCCTCCCTCCACTAAGAAGTGATCCTGTTAACAATAACTTCTGTAAAAACCAAACAGAATGGAACAGCTTAATTGCTCTAGAAAGAAAACTTCTCGGACAAATTAAATTGGCCATTTGCTGTCTGGAGCGCACGTGAGAAAATACTTTCTCCATGGGGATTTTTTTTCCCAGCTTTGTGTGCATTCACAAACGAGGAGTCAAAACAGTACATCCTTTCCTTAGAAACATCTCTAGGTTAAAAAAAAAAAAAAAAGCAGGACTTCTTTTTCCAAACAAGAGGGGGCAACAGGAACCAGATTTACCCTCCCATCCAAAACAATGACAAGAAACAGTCGAAATACATGAAATGATATTTGGTAAGACACTAAGTTATCAGCCAAAAAAAAAAAAAAGTCTTTTCTGCGAGACAGAAAATGAATGACCACAGTCCCCACTTACTACCCTGAGAGAGTGTCCAGGCCACAACCCCAGGCAGGAGGATCCAGGCAGAGCCCTGCGACTTCCTGAGTTGAGGTGGAGTGTCTGAGGAGACCAAAGTGGCAAAAGTCCACAGGATGAAGTACGACAGAGGAGAGGGCAGCACGGAGTTGAACTCCAGGGGTCTGGAGAGAGTTCCTCTCGAGCGTTTAGCAAAGTGCTGACCAGCACGCACATACGAGATGACCCAAAGCTGGGTAAAGAACCACCCAAAAGGATTAGAGGAAAAGATGCCTGTAGCTCACACGAGGCCAGGAACAGTGCCTGTTCCCAGGGTGGAAAACGTAATTCGCTGGGCACTGGTACAGTAATCAGAAGGGTCTTGCCTCAGTAATGAGGAATAATTAGCTTTAGACAAAAAGCTGTTCTGGTACCATCTAAAAAAAAAAATCTAGAAGCAATACTCAAAAGGAATAAGCAGTTTTCAAGTAACTGTGTCCCAGAACAAAACTCAAGAATATTTATAAGAATGGGAAAATAATCCAGCAGCCAACAAGCTAAAGCTCATAATGCCTGGAATCCAATGAAAAATTACTAGGCATGCAGAGAGTCAGGAAAACGTGACATATAATGGGGAAGAAAATTCAACCTGTTGAAATCAACCCAGAATGGACACAAAATTAGATTTGGCAGAAAAGGATAGTAAAAATTATTCTAACTATGATATAGGTTAAAAAGTTAACTAGAGACATGGAGGATATAAGAGACCCAAATAGAACTTCTAGGGAGAAAAACTATAATATCTGAGATGAAAACTACACTGCATGGGATTAACAACAGATTAGACGCTGCAGAAGGTAAAATTAGTGAACCTGAAGATACAGCACTGGAAACCACCCAAAACGAACACAGAAAGAAAAAAGGATCAGTAAAAATGGAAAGTTTCAGTGAGCTGTGAGCTGTGAGCCAATGGCAGGAAGCCTAACACAAGTACAAGTGGAGTCCTCAAAGAACGGAGGGATACGAGAAGGATTCGAAGAAATAATGGACAAAGTTTCCCCAAATTGAATGAGAACTAAAAACTTACAGGTCTAAGCAACCCCGCAAACCCTAAGCACGAGAAAAAAAAATGAAGAAAACTACGTCAAAGCAAGTCACGCTAAAATTACTCAAGACCGGAGGTGATGAGAAATTCCTAAAAACAGCCAGCCAAAGACAAAAGACTAATATTACATACAGAGAACAAGGGCAAGACAATCAGTAGGTTTACTGTCAGAAATAAAAGCAAGAAGAAGGTAGAGCGACATCTTTAGAATACTGAGAGGAAAAAAAAGTCAGAATTCTATCTTTAGCAAAGATCTTTTAGAAATGAAGGCTAAATACTCTTCTAGATATACAAAAGCTGAAAGAATTAATGACTAGCAAACCTGCACGACTAGGCATGTGAAGTGATTTACGTTGATCTCCTTCTGGGAAATGGGGTCAGTTGGAAATGTGGATCTGCACCAAGGGACGCAGAGCAATGATACTGGTAACTACACGAGTAAACGAGACTTACCACTGAAATCTCTCTGAAAAACAGCAGACCATTTAAGCGAGAACAGTAGCCATGTGCCGTGGGGCCTACAGCGTGTAAAACAAAGTGCACTAACAGCAACAGCATAAAGGCCAGGAGAGCTGTAAGTGCGCGACCGCATAGTTTCCATTCTGCATGTCAAGTGCTATGGAATCACTCGAAGGGAGACTGTGCTAAGTGAATGACGCATACTGTAAGCCCGAAAGCAACCACCAAGGCAGAAAAGAAAGAGTTACAGCCAAAAAGCCCACACTGGAGGTAAAACAGAATCCTAATATTTACTACATTAATGCCAAAGAAGGCGGAAAAAGTGGAAAGGGGAAATAAAGGACAAATTGGACAATTAGAGAACAAATAGCAAGATGATGGACTTAAGCCATCTCAATAATCACGTTAAATGTAAATGAGATAAATACTCCAATTAAAAGGCTGAATATTTCATATGGAATAAAAAGCCATACCCAACACACTTTCTCTACAAGAATGCCCTTTAAACATAAAGACACAAACAGGTTAAAAGTAAGAGAATAAAAAAGATATACCACGCTAACATCAATCATAAGGGGGCTCGGATGGCTGGCTATATTAACATCAGAAAAAGCAGATTTCAGGGAAAGAATGATACCAGGGGTGAAGACAACCATTTCATTATGAGAGTCAATTAATCAAGAGGATATAGGAATCTTAAATGTGTATGCATATAAATCAGAGTTTCAAAATACGTGAAGCAAAAATGTTCTAATATTGCAATCTGAATAATTGCCAGAACAGGTAGATAGCAAATGCATGGCAAACTTGAACCACAATATCAACCACCTTCAGCTGACATTTATGGAACACTGCCCCCAACAGCAGAGTACACTTTCTTTAAGTATGCATAGAATGCTTACCAAGATGTAGACCATATTCTGGGCCATAAAAAAGGGTTCAATAAATTTAAAAGGATTCAAGTCTTACAAAGTATTTCTCTGACCACAGTGACATTAAATTAAAAATTAATTACAGAAGAACTCTGGAAAATCCTCAACTGTTTGGAGACTAAATCACACACTTCTTCATAACTCACAGATCAAAAAATAAATCTAAAGAGAAATGAAAAAGTATTTTGAATTGAATAAAAATGAAAACACAGCACATCAAAATTTATCAAGGTAGTACTGTGAGGGAAATGTGTAGTACTAAACTCCTATATTAGGAAAGAAGGGTGGTCTCAAATCAGTGACCTCAGCTTCCACCTTCAGAAACAGAAAAAGAAGGGCAAATTAAGCCCAAAGCAAGCAGAAGAAAGGGAACAGATAAATAACTGAGCAGAAATCAATTAAATAGAAAACAACAAAACCAAAGTTGATTCTTTGAGGAAAAAAAAGATAAACCTTTAGCCAGAATGATCAAAATAAAAAGACAAATTACCAATATCAGGAATGATAGAGATGATACCATTACGTCCACCGATACAAAAAGAATAATATGAGACCATAATGAACTTTATCCTAATATATCAGACAACTTAGAAGAAATATACAAATTCCTTTAAAAACAAAAACTACCAAAGCTCACCCAAGACAACACTGATAACCTTAATAGCACTGTATCAATTAATTGAATTTGTGGTTAAAAACCTTCCCACAAAGAAAACTCTAGGCCTAAGTGGCTCTGCTAACAATATTTAAGGAAGAAATAAAACCAGTACTAAACAAACTCTTCTAAAAAACAGAAGAGGAGGAAATACTTCTCAATTCATTCCATAAGGTCAGCATTATCCCAATACCGAAGCCAGACGAAGATATTATAAAAGAGAGCCAGTATCCTTCAGGAACGTAGGTGAAAAGTTCTAAACAAAATTTTAACAAATAGAATCCGACAGTATATATAAAAAGGACAATACACATTGACCAAATGGGTCATAAATGTAAATGGAAAACCTAAAATTATAAAACTTCTAGAATAAAACATAAGGGAAAATCTTTGTGACTCTGGGTTAGGCAAGGGTTTCTTAGACATAACACCAAAAGCACGGTTCATAAAAAAATATTAATTGAAGTTAATCAAAGTTCAAAACTTTTTTTCAAAAGATACTGTAAGAGACAGAAACACCAGATTGGGAGAAAATATTTGCAAAGTGTATATCTGGATAAGGGAGTGTATCCAGAACAAAGAACTCCTACAACTCAGTAAAAACACAAACACCCCAATAAAAATACAGGCAACAGATGTGAACAGATATCTCACCGAAGAAGGCACGCAGACAGCAAACGAGCACATGAAAAGATGCTCTGCATCGTTAGCCACTGGGGAAATGCAGTGAGACACAACTGTACTCATCAGAATGGCTAAAATTAGGAAGGCTGACCGTATCAAGTGCCGGTGAGGGTGTGGAGCCACTAGAAAACTCTCGTACTCCGCTGGTGGGAATGTAAAATGTACAACCACTTTGGAGAACAGTATGGCAGTTTCTTAAAAAGTTAAAACATCTGCCTACCATGTAATCCACTCCTTCCCCTCCTACACATTTACCCCCCAGAACAGTACATGTCCATACGCAGACTTGCATGTGGATGTTCACAGCAGCTTTCTTTATAATCGCCAGTAACCAGAAACCACCCAGATGTCCGTCGACAGGCGAATGATTAAACCAACTGTGGTTTAGCCACACGACGGACTACTCCTCAGCAACAGAAAGGATAAACCGCCGGTACACACGACCACGTGATGCCTCTCAGTTACACCGAGTGTAAGAAGCCAACGCACAGCACACGCTGTATGATTCTTCCATTTATATAAAACTCTGGAAACTACAACCTAATTTTTAGTGACAGGAAGTAGATAAGGAGTTGATTAGGGACAGGGCGGCAGGTGGGAGGAAACTCTGGGGTGATGGGTGTGTCTGTCATCTTGACCACGGTGAAAGTATTCCAGGTGCGTAAGTATATCAAAACATCAAATCTGACGCTTCGATCACGTGCAGTTTGTGTCCATGAAGTCAGAGAACAAAATGTCAGCGGGGTGTTAAGGGTGGCATGATCGCATCCTTTGTGACGTACGTGCATACGTGTACGTTGGGTCTGCATAGGCAAAGGAACGCCTCACGAGCATGGCCACGCAGAGGCAAGACCGTGGGCATCGGTGCGGGGGCTTCGTCTGAGTGTACGATGCACTGCTGTACTGTCTGGGATTGTTAATGACAACGGCTTTTTAAAAGTGTAAGCTGTTCGCGACAAGAGCGGAGTGTGGCCGCCGGCAGCCCCCTCGGCTCCAGCTCAGCTCGGCCGTGAGGCGAGGCCTCGTCTACGCCAGTCCACCCACGTCCGCCTCACCGTCTTGTGTATCAAGTAGAAGTCCTTCTTGTGGGCACAGAACGCCTTCTTAAAGAGCCTCTTCTCCATGGGGGTCCAGATGTCGGAACCTACGGGAGGAACGGCCAAGAGGGGGCAGGACGTTTGTCCTTCTGGGACCACGGCTGTCGCTGACATACAGAGAGCCCTCCTTTTTCAACTCCCGTTACTGAGTACTGATTATGCGCCAAGCTTTCTGCTGAGCCCCTTACCTGCTTTATCTCATAGTCCTCACTAAAACCTTAGCAGGTAGGGGCCATTACCATCCCTGCTGCACACATGCAGCAACTGAGGCTCCCAGTGGTAAAGAGGCTTGCTGAGGGCAAGGGGAAACCCAGGCCCCCTGACCCCAGGGCCCGCCTCTGGCTCCCCCTGGCTGGGGGCACCCGCTTCTGTCCGGAAGGAACCCAGGAGGGAACCACCAGAAAAGGGGAAGGCAGGGTTCAACGAGAAGCCAACGGTGCTCACGGAGTCACCCCGGAGAGGACGGGCCCTTCTGGAAGGGCAGACGAAGCCCCCGAGGGAACTCCAAGACAAGCAGAGCCGGCCACCAAAGCTGACCGGTTCACGGGGCTCTCGGCCAGCCAAAACCACGCCGGCACCTTGCTGCAGTCACCTGTGTAGCGATAGTCAGCGAGGGGGTGAGTCTGTGGCTTCTGGGGTCCTCTGAGTAAGAGGGTCTCCAGGGCAACCTGGAACAAGAAAGGCAGGCTGCTCACTGGGGGGTATCAAGGGGGGGCTTCGCTGTCTCACACACTCACATTCGTGGACTACTTAGCGCCTTGCTGTCCCAGGGCTGCTCAGAGTGTGGTGGTTTCAGGGACTGGCTGCCCCTGGGAACCGTCGAGGACACATCGCCTTCATCACTATGTGCACTGTCGGGGGCAGTGACACCATGTTCCACAGCGAGCTTTTCTTGGTGCAGGGCACAGTGCGTGGGTTTGTTCTGGCGCGCGTCCCTCATTTCCGTGGGGGTCGGCATTCTGAGCAGCACCGCCCTGCCTGCTGCCCCGGTTCCTTTTCCCTGTGGCACTCGTCATTAGCTCACAATTTTAAAAAACATATTTCCTGTTTCGACCCTCCTAAAATGTAAGCCCCGTGAAGAGAGGGGTTTTGTGTTGCTCCCCAGCATAGCCTCAGCCAGGACCGAGTGTGTAACTCGCGGGACCCAGTGCAAATAAAAATGAGGGGCCCTCTGTTCACAAAGTAAGAAGGTGGCGTCGGACCCTGACACCAGGCACGGGGCCCCCCAAGCCGGCCCTGGCCCCTGTGCCGCAAACCACCAGGCGCTCGGTGGGACCCACTAGATGTGTGATTACTCTGCAGAGCACCTACTACGTGCCACCCCTGCCTCCGAGCTTGAGAAAAGGCACGATGGTGGCACTCCCTGGGCCCCTAGCTTGGTGACTTGACTTTTCTCCCACTCCCCACAGCTGGGCCTTCATCTCTAAATTGTAGGACTGCACGCAGCGCCCTTGGAGGAAGCAGAGGTGTTTCTGTTGCATCAGAAGTTTTCATTCATGGGTCTTGACCGAAACGATAAAGCTCAATAAATAAAGCAGACCGACACAGCACCTGAGGTGGGACTACCAGGCCACCCCCCCCAGATATCTCGGAGGAAGCCTGGTGCCCTGTCGCTGCCCCAGGGCAATAACTGATTAACTGAGCCCCTGTCCGTGCACGGCCCCTGCATTCTCATGGACCATATCACCCCGAGCCTCAGCGGGAGGCTGGGTGGCCTTCCTTCGGTTTTCACGGCTGCACTCCCCACCCCCCATGAAGAAGGCGCTGGGCATGCACCTGGAGCCCCGGCCCCAGGAGAGCGGGAGCTTCAGAGAGCTCCTCCGTGCCCGCCCCCCTCACCTGGACGTCGCCCTGGGCTTCGTGCAGGCAGTGCAGCGCCAGCTCCAGGTTGGTGCCCCCGCCCGGCATCGCGCTAGAGCAGGCCACGTTGCAAAGCTCAGTCACTGTGTCCAGCCAACGGCCCAGCAGAGGGAGAGGAGACACGGGAGTCAGCAAGGGCTAGGGAGGAGCGTCCCCGACAGCATGGGGCAGGGGCTCCTCGTCGTCGCCATCTCCCTCCGAAGCAGGCTGAGGGGTGGGAGGGACAGGGAGGCAGGGCAGAAGCTCTGCTCCTGGCACCTGCTTTGGGTGGCCTGGCCAGATGCCAGTGTGAGAGAGGTGGACAGGAGACCACAGCCTGGGAGGAGCAATGCTGGACCGAGGGCTAGTCACCCTCATCCCCAGGGACACTGCTTCCAGGTCAAGGCAAGAAGTGGGAGGCAAAGCTCCTTGGAGATGGCGGGGAGGGGCTTGGGAATCCGACCCCAATGTCTCAGCCACCTCGATCCTGCGTTTCTGGGTTGCTCATCACATCTCCCCACGGCTTCCAGGCCAGAGAAGCTACATGCTCATCGGTTCCAGCCAGCGATCTCTGCTGCAGCTCTGGGATCTCAGCCTGAAACCGGCTTCCTATGTTGATGTGTCTGAAATGAGGTCACACACACAGACGCGCGAGACATCCACATGCGACTAAGATGGGACCGGGACACGGACGGGATGGGCGGTGTGCCCGGCCCTGGGGAAACCCTCCGCCATCGCCCCGACGCGGCGAGTGTTCGCCACTCCAGACGGACGTGCAGGCGGTCCAGCAGCCTCGCGAGGGACCCTTCCTTCCCTCTTCCAGTTTCCTTTACTGCCAGATGTCTGGCCTCAGGTGTCTCTTTTGGGGTGTGGGACAGGGCAGGTGCATGCTGACACCTGGCATACTTCTACATCTACAATTGCGTCCACTTAGTCACATTCTGTGGACAGTCAAGAGTCTCGCACTGTGCCATCACCAGCTCCACCTAGAACCCCGGGTCCTGGGCATTCTGTCCCCACGGGCCCACCTAGGGTGCGTCTGGACAGAGGGATTACTGGGGAACTTGCCACATATATCTGGGGAAACCCACCATCTCTCTCTTCTGAGGCTATGTCACAAGACCTGACCCCCCGTGATGGAGAAGCCCTTGGGAAGACACACTGGAACGCAAGGAGGATGAAAGCACCCCCACTTTGGAAG